TGGCACAGTGGTAGCAGCAATGGGCTTAAGCATAACAACACTTTTGAGGATTGCCCAGGACCTGGCAGTGTTTTGTTCTGTTTTGCCTATGGTCACTGTTATCAGAACCAACTCTAGGACACTAATAGCAATAACGAAGGATGAGAGGAGGAGGTCTGCTAAGTACAAGATCAATAATGTGAATTCATCAGCAGTTCATGGGAGAAAGATGAGGCTTTCTGCTCCCGTACAAATGTACAGCCTGGGGAACACTTTACAGGGTCATTATGAGTCAGAATCACCTCTGTGGCTCACAGTAGCAGAAGCAGCAAGCAGAGGAGGGAGAAATGGGTTTTGTTTGGGATATTGAAAAACTTTTGAAAATAATAGTGATAATGGTTACACAACATGGTGAGTGTAATTTCACCGATTTTACACTTTAAATGATGTAAATGGCAACATTTTTTGTTATATATATTTTACCACAAATTCTTTGTAGAAATTAATTTTATCATCAACACTAATCTCATTTCAAGTGCTCAGTAGTCACATATGTCTAGTGGCTACCACGTTGAACAGCGTTGATGTAGAATATGTCCATCATTTCAGAGGTCTTTTGAGGAATGCTGTTCTATTATAAGAGAATTAATCTGCCCAAAATATCTCTACACTTCTTTGTGTCAGTGTTATCTCCTGAAATTATCACTTTAGATCATGAGAGCAACATTAAAACTAAGTAAACCACAGTGAAATCACTAGAATACAGTGACACAAGACAGCACTCAACAACAGCAACAATTTCTTCCAATGTAAAATGGGGATACTATGTTCTTTCAGGGTTGTTTTATTACATAATATATGTGTTCCTTATGTTTTACAAAATCATAGACAAAAAACAACATAGCTTGTGGGATGTAGGTTTCAAGAAGACCATTTGAAACCCATGCAGAGCTCTCTTTGTTGATGTAAAAGAATCCGACTGAGTTTTTTATGTTGATCTTGTACTCTGCCACTTGGCTGAATCTTTCAAATAGTTTTCTTATCCAGTCTTTGTGATTTTCTATGTATATCTCTGGCTAAGAATTCCAGTACACTATAGAATAGGAGTGATAAGAAAATGTCATTCTTGTTTGATCCATATTTGTAAGGCGAATGCTTTCAGTTTCTCTCCATTGAGAGTGATGTTGGTTGTTGATTTTTAGTATATGCCCTTAAATATGTTGAGGAATATCTCTTCTACTCCTATTTTGTTGAGTGTTTTTTATTATGAATGTATGTTGGATTTTGTCAAAACCCTTTCAACTTTATCAACAAAATGCACAAAGGGATAACTAAGTCTAGATGACTTTACTTTTATGTTTCTCCCCTTTAGATTATCGGCATAATGGTCGTGATCTTCAGAGCTCAACACTCTCAGTGCCAGAACAAGTAATGTCATCAAACCATTGTTCACCATCAGGGTCTCCCCACCGAGTAGATGCAATAGGAAGAACTAGATCATGGTCACCCAGTGTCCCTCCTCCACAAAGGTAAGCCCACGTCTACATTTTATGTGTAGCATGGTACTATAGGCCTGTTTGTTGTAAACTGTCATTGTTGTTGTTGTTAAGTGCTGTTGTCTTGGTTCTGACTCATAATGACACTTTGTATGTTTCCAAGGAGCAGCTGGTGGGTTTGAGCCACTGACCTTTCTGTTAAAACCGACTTGGCAGTCCAATGCTTTATCCTGCAGCTCTACACCAAGACTCCAAGTGATTATTAATCACCTATGAATATAATCAATTCTTGTGGGGAAAGGTTATTTAAGGGGAAAAAAAAAACCCTATTCAATAACCTCAGTAATGAAAGTGATATGAAAACTGGGTTACTCTGTAATGTTGGTTACTCTACGTAGTGTTCTATTGTGATAGTTAAAATCCTTGAGAAAGCAGCTGGTTTTAATAATGTGTCAATATTGACCATATTGGTCACTTTCTCTGATTATAATTTTAACTAATTATTCTCAATACTGATATGTGTTATTGAAAGCTGCTTTCCATAGGATAAGCATTGCACTGTGAACCAGAAGGCCAGTGGTTCGAGCCCACAATTACTCCGCAAGAGAGAGATGAGGCTTTCTGCTCCCAAAAGGTGTATTAGTCTTGGAAATCCTATGTAGGGTTACTAGGAGTCAGAATCGTCTCAAAGGCACTTACCAACAACAAACTTCTCAAGCATTTTAAATACATACCTGATGAGTCTTTAAAATTTGGAATAATAATCAACAGAAGAATAAAAAGATTAATGAGCAATGAGAAAAAAATACTTCTAAAGTCTACATCTGTTAAGTCCTATGTCTGGTTGAAATTTCTCATCAACATAGAATATTGCAGAGAGGCTTCATGGAGTAAAAATCATGTAAATAATATATTGTTGGTGTTGTTAGGTGCCTTTGCATTGGTTCTGACTTATGGCAACCCTATGCACAGCAAAACAAAGCACTGCCCAGTCCTGTGCCATCCTCACAATTCTGGTTATGTTTGAGCCCATGGTTGCTGCCACTGTGTCAATCCATCTCCTTGGGGGTCTTTTTCTTTTTCACTGACCTTACACTTTACCAAGCATAATGCCCTTCTTTAAAGAGTGCTCTTTCTTGTGAGCATATTCAAAATATGAGAGGCAAATTATTGCGATCCTCACTTGTAAGGAACATTCTAATTGTTCTTCCAGGACAGATTTGTTTGTTCTGCTGACAGTCCATAGTACTTTCAGTATTCTTTGCCAACACTGTAATTTAAATGCATCAATTTTTCTAGGGTCTTCCCTAATCACTGTCCAACGTTCACATTATATGAGGCGATTGAAAATACCATGACTTGGGTTGTTGTTGTTGTTAAGTGCTGTCGAGTCAATTCCAACCCATAGCGACCCTGTACAGGGTTTCTGAGGCTGTAAATCTTTACGGGAGCAGAAAGCCTCATCTTTCTCCCACAGAATAGCTGGTAGATTCGAACTGCTGACCTTAAGGCTTGCAGCCCAATTCGTAACCGCTACGCTACCAGAGCTCCTTATGACTTGGGGTAGGTGCACCTTAATACTCAAACTGATATCTTGAAGTCTTTTGCAGCAGATTTGCTAATGCAGTATGTAATTTCATTTCTTGACTGCTGCTTCCATGAGTGTTGATAGTGGATCCAAGCAAAATGAAGTCTTTGACTACTTCAGTCTTTTCTCCATTTTTTGTGATGTTATTTATTGGCCCGTTAAACATGATATTGTTTATTAAATTGTGAGGATTTTTTTTGTTTTCTTTACATTGAGATGTAATCCAGTCTAAAGTCTATAGTCTTTGATCTTCATCAGTAAGTATTTTAAGTCCTCTTTGTTTCCAGCAAACAAGGTTGTATCATATGCATATGTTGTTGTTGTTGTTGTTAAGTGCCGGGGAGTCAATTCCAACCCATAGCGACCCTGTATAGAGTTTCCAAGGAACAGCTGGTGAGCTTGAACAGCCAACATTGCAGTTCAAATGGCTTTGCAGTCTGGCACATTAACTCACAGTGCCACACCAGTACTCCTATGCATATGTTGTTGTTGTTGTTAAATGCTGTTGAGTCGGTTCCAACCCATAGCAACCCTGTATAGGGTTTCCGAGGAGTGACTGGTGTCCTTGAACCACCAGCCTTGCAGTTCAAATGGCTTTGCAGTCTGGCGCATAAACGCACAGCGCCACACCAGAACTATGCATATAGCAGGTTGTTAATGAGCTTTCCTCAAATCCTGATGCCCTGTTTTTTATATAATACAGTTTCACGGATTAGTTGCTGAGAATGCAGATTGAATTAAGTATGGTGAAAGGTTATAACTCTGGCACACACTTTTCTTGATTTTAGGCCATTCATTAACCCCTTGCTCTGTTCATATTGACTGCCTCTTGAGTTCCTCATGAGCACTATTAAGTGTTATGGAATACCTATTTTTTGCAATGTTATCAATAGTTGGTCATAATCCACCCAGTCAAAAGCCTTTGCACTGTCAATAATTTTCAAATTCAAAACGGCCAGTACTAGTCCATTTCAGTCACAAATACTTAGGATATCGATGCTTTTGCGTTCCATTTCAATTTTAACAATTTCCAATTTTCCTGGATTCATACTTCGTACATCCCATGTTCTGATTATTAATGGATGTTTGCAGCTGTTTCTCTTCATTTTGACTTGTGCCCCATCGGCAAATGAAGGTTCTGTGGGCTTTACTCCATTTTCGTCATCACAGTCAACTCTAAATTGAGGAGACAGCTCTTCTCCAGTCATAATTTGAGTGCCTTCCAATCTGAGGTGTTCGTCTTCTGGCACTATATCTGACAATATTCTGGAGCTATTTATCATGTTAAGGTATTCAGTATTCTGGTGCTGGCAGTGTTCCACTGCTATTCATAAGGGTTTTCAGTGACTAAATATTCAGAAGTAGCCCATGTCTCCTCCTTCTGTCTGGAAGCTCAGATGAAACTTGTCCACCATGGGTGACCTTGGCTGGTATTTCAAATACATGTGGCATAGCTTCCAGAATCACAGCAACACCCAAGGCACCACAGTGTGAGCAGCTGACAGAGGACTGGTGGATTTTACCCATAGAATCCTTCATTATTGAAAATCGAAGTTTGAATTTTCCTTCAGTTCTGTCAGCATGTTTTTCCCTTTTGGTTTTCTAATTCCAGTTCTTTAAACATTTCATTATAATACTTCCTTTGTCTTCACGAGCTACCCTTTGAAATTTGCTGTTTAGTTATTTCATTTCCTCATTTCTTCCATTTGCTTTAGTTTTTCTATGCTCAAGAGCAATTTTCAGTCTCTTTCTGAAATTTGTTTTTTCTTAATTTCTAGTCTTTTTAATGCCCTTTTACTTCCTGTATGATATTCTTATGAAAGACTTGAAAAAAAAAACAACTAAATTTAGATAATTAAAAAAATTAAAAGCCTACTGTTTAAAGTATGTAAACATAGCACAATATTAGCAATTATTGAATTAACTAATTTTCTAAATGTTGCTGTTGTTAATTGCTGTCAAGTCAGTTCATGGACATAGTAACCTACTCACAGTGACCCTGTATAGGGTTCTGAAGAGCGCATGGTGGGTTGAACTGCCAGTGATTTCCCTATAGCGCTAGAATTATTCCATTTTCTAAAGACTAATGATTTGCTGTGGGATAATGCTTGTGGACCACAGTGTCAGTTTGAACCACAAGGTCAGCAGTTCAAATTCACCACCCTCTCCTGGAAACCTGATCTAGGGTCGCT